AACTCAATATTGTGGAGTCTGCATGTTCAATGCAATCCCAATACAAATACTAATTCCATTCTTCAATGAGATGGGAAAGGCAATTTCTAATTTCATTTGGAATGGAAAGAGACCATGAATAAGCAAAGCACTCCTTAAAAACAAGAAACAAGGGAGGAGGCACCCCACTCTCTGATTTCAAATCCTACTGGTAGTCAAGACAGCATGGTACTGGTACAGTGAGAGACACATAGATCAATGGAATAGAATTGAGAACCCAGAAATCAGCCAATCTACCTATGGTCAACTGATGTTAAACAAGGAGATGAAATCAGTTAAGTGGGGAAGCTATAGCCTTTTAAACAAATGGTGTTGGCAAAATTGGAAAACTATCTGCAGGAAACTTAAGCAAGACCCACACCTCACAGCATACATAAAAAGCAACTCAAAGTGGATCAATGACCTAAGACTAAAACCAGGGACTCTAAAATTCTTCAGAGAAAAGCTTGGGATAACTCTAGAAGCTCTAATCCACAATTTGAACAGTCTTCCAAGCATCCTGAAAAACCTACCACAAGGAGAGGATTAAATCGATGAATCAAATCCCTATGTGCATCAAAAAATTTCTCCAAGAGAGTAAAAAGAAAAGCCACAGACTGGGAAAGGATATTTGGCAATGACATGTCTGATAGGGGACTTATACCTAGAATTTATAGAATACTCGAGCACCACAACAAGAGGTAAAAAATCCAGTGGCAATATGGGCACAGGATATGAACAGACACTTCATTGAAGACATTCAAACAAACACATGAAGAAATATTCAAAATCCCTAACTCTAAGAAAGATCCAAATCAAAACCACTATGAGATATCACCTTACCCCAGTAAGTATAGCAAAAGATAACAGAACAGCAAACAACAAATGTTGGCAAGGTTGTGGAGAAACTGGAACCCTTATTCACTGTGGGTGGGAATGTAAAATGGTGCAACCACTATGGAAGGCAGTATGGCACTTTCTCAAAGAGTTGGAAATAGAAATACCATTTGATCCAACAATTCCACTACTGGGAATATACCCCAAAGAGACCATAATTGCCACCTAAACAGATATATGCACACCTATATTTATTGCAGCTTTGTTCACAATAGCAATGAGTTGGAAACAACTCAAGTGCCCATCAACAAACGAATAAATAGAGAAGCTGTGGTGTATTCACACAATGGAATACTATGCAGCACTGAAAAACAAGGAACTCATAAAATATTATACAAAATGGGTGACCCTGGAGGACATTATCCTGAGTGAAATATCTCAGTCACAAAAGGACAAATACTGCATAATTCCAGTGTTCTAAAACAGGACTGACATAGGGGGTTGGAGGGAAGGTATGAAAAGAGGGGATAAATAGTGTACACTGCATTGAAACAGATGAGGGAAAGAACTGCTTAAAAGGAATATATGATTGGGTATTGTTTGCATGACAACAGTCCAGAATAAGAGCATGGTAAAGTGGACTGGGGAAGGGGTGCAAAATTGTACAACAGTGAAAGAATTTTCTTTTCTTTTTTTCTTTTTAAATTTTTATTATTTTTTATGTGTACCGTCAAATCAGATCTGACTAGTACATGAGGAGATTGCCCCCTCCTTCTCCAGCAGAGCATCTGGTGGATTTGAACGGCGAAAGAATTTTCTTTTCAAAGAGAAAAGTGAATTGGTGTGGGCAGGGAGGTAAATTGGCAACAATGAATGAATGAATGAATTGAAATCCAATTTCTCTATAAACTTTCATTAGAATATTGAAAAAAATTTTTTTTTCTAACTAGAAACACTACCTTCTTTCTCAGGATAATCCAGACAATCTAGAATATTCCAAAAGTGGAATTATTACTGCAAGTGAGAAAACATCTATGCTGTCTAACTAATCGTTAGAATATATTTTATTATTTGTGTAGCTATACATTTATAGAAGGAAGAGTGGCATCCACTTCCTTAATAGCTTGTCTCTGGAAACTCTATGAACCTGGAGAGAGGATGAAAGGTGCCCAAGCGTCAAGGACTCTCCTTCGTAGGGTCGCTATGAGTTGCCTGCGACTCAATGGCTCTTAACAACAACAACAACAACAACAACAACACGCATTTATATGTAATATTTCCAGCCCTCAGGACAAATGGAGACCAATATATGCATATATTGGTAATAAAGGGCGTTCTGGTGAGCTAGTGAGTAGAGAGTTTCTTTGGTAACCCTGAACTGGTCAGGTGTTTGTATTACCAGCTACTCCTCGGGAGAAAGATGGGCAGTCTCCTCCAGTTCAATTTACAGCCTTGAAAATCCATTAGAGAATCAGTTGTTGTAAGTTCCAACTCCATGGGAATCAGATAGATACTGTTAATAAATGGCAGCAACACTGAAAATGTAAAAAAACCCAAACCCAATATTCAAATTAGGTAAAAACTGATTATAGTGGAGTCATCAGAATAGAAGAAGCGCATTGTAAGTCAGACACTACCTGTATATGAAATGTCCAAAGTAGGTGAATCTCTAAATAAAGAAAGTAGATTCCTAGTTGCTTGAGTCTGGGAAGATGGGGCTAATGGAGAGTTATTGCTAACAGGTGCAGGTTTTATTTTGGGGAATGACAGAGTGTTCTAAAATTAGATTGTGGAGCTGCACAATTCTGTGAATGTGTCAAAACCACTAGATTGTATACTTTAATGGGAGAACTGTATGATATGTGGATTAAATATTAATAAAGCTGGTAAAAGAGAAAATTATTAACATGGTTTCCTATAAAAATGTACTAGAATAATTTTGAAAAATAAGTTCCAAATGGATGAAAGCAATGGTTATACAGTAGAAATGCATAGACTTGCCCACCCAACCTAACAGTCATTATTTCCTAGTTGTCTCTCTCTCTTCCATTGTCTTCAAATTGGAGCCAACTCACAGCTGATCCTCCAGCACGTTTTCAGTGGCTGCCGATGGCGTGGACGGAAATGACTGAGCCTTCTTCATAGGGTTACTGGTGGATTTGAACCTCCATAGAGGTGTGACCTTTGGGTTAGCATTGCAGCTTCCTATTGGCTTTCATTTACTTACTTAGTAAAATCTAAATAAATGGCCCTGCAGATGCGCATTTGTGCATATAGTTGATTCTAGTCACCAATCACTCAAATGTCGTATAGTTCGTCAATGACAATAAAAGCAAGAGAGTGACCAGGAGCCACAGCCACGCCACGCACATGCAAAAACTCTGTCCTCACAAGTCTCTCCTGGCCGTAGTCTTTGTTCATAGCCTCACACATCTGCAGTCTTCTTGTCCTTCTGTGACAAGCACACAGAAGCTTCAGCATACTCACTGATCTTTAATCAGTTCAAGGCCAATTTCAGGAAGTCTTTATCTTTTGATAGGTGATGGGTTAGATGACCTTCTAACTTTTAAGTATCTCTGAGTTGACGGGCAAAGTTTCTTCAGGCTCAAAAGTTCATAAATATAGTCTCATATGGCTCAGCCTGAAAACCATGAGAGCACTTTGATCAGTGTTCCCACTTCCTAGGCAGGAAGACTGAGGTGAGATCACAACTCCAAAGAGATTCCACCACGTGCAAACAGTGCAGACCAGAGAGGAGGGCACCACCTGCTCCAGGGCCTTCCTCAGGGGGCACTGACCAACACAGAGCCCCAGAGAGGTAAAAGACATTTTGAAAACCATTAAAGAAGAAATTTATTCCCTTGTACTTAAAACAAAGTTGGATTAGTGAGCAATGATATCAGTTTAAAGATTGAGGTGCCCCTGCCTCAAGTCATGGTCTTTTCAGTTACTTCCTATGTGTCTAAAAGTTGAACAGTTAATAAGATGACAGAAGAAGAATTGATGCTTTTGTTGTGGTGTTGGAGAAGAGTACTAAATATTCCATGGGATGCCAAAATAACTAACAATTCTGTCTTAGAGTAAGAACAACCACAGTGCTTCCTAGAGGCAAGGATTTTTGTGAAACTTTGTCTTACATACTTTGGGCATGTTGTTAGGAGGCGCTAGTCTTTGGAAAAAAGGGCTACATGCTTGGAAAGGTAGAGGGTCAGTGAGAGAGGAAGACACTCAAAAGAGGGACTGACACAGCAACTGTAGCAGTGGGCTCAGCATATCAGAGATAAAGAGGACAACATAAGATGGACGAGGTTCAGACACATCGTTCTTAGAGTTGTTACGAGTTGTAGTTGGCTCAATGACACCTAACAACAACAACAACAACTTTATTTTATTGTGTTTCAGTGAAGGTTTACATAGTGAGGTACTCATTCAACAATTTCTGTGTCGATTGTTCAATGTCTCTCCTTATGTTTTTAATGTTAGAATATGATATTCTAGATTAAAAATAATCAGACAGGGGAGCTCTGGTGTTATCTTTGCAGATTGTATTGGGTTACTAACTGAAGGTCAGCAGTTTGAATCTACCAACTGCTCCATGGGGGATAGTTGGGCAGTCTGCTTCCTTAAAGATGTAGAAACTCAGGAACCCAGCAGAGGGGCCCCCCATGAGCGAGACATGGCTCAACAGCAGGACGTTTGAAAACCAGACAGATCTGGATTTAAATCTTACTCTTCTCAAATGATATCCATGGTCTTTGCAGGGGACTGGGAGGTCCTGCTGTGTTCCCTTCTGGGGCCCTTTGCAACATCTTGGCACACCTCCTGCAGGTGGGATCTTGGCCCCTCTGTTGTCCCATTGCAAGGGTCCTTGGGTGGCACAAATGGCTAACACCATAAATCAACTACTAACTGAAAGGTTGGGCCTTTAATACACTCAGAGGTGCCTCAGAAGAAAGGCCTGGCAACCCTCTTGTGAAAATCAGGTGTTGAGAACCCAGTGGAACACACTCTACGGACACAAGGGCTGGGGTGTGAATTGTTGCTCCAGATGCTGGAGGCCAGGCTGTTCCTGGACCAGCCCTCAGAGGACAGGTAACGGAGTCCTAGGGCGGCGATGAGCCACTGTCCCCCTCTGTCTCTGACAGGGACGTTCGTCTCGGCTTTCACTGTGCTGTGTGGCGCCCGCACCGACCTCCCGGACAGACACGTGTGCTGTGTCTTCTGGCTCAACATCGCAGCCGCCCTCATCCAGATCCTGACAGCCATCGTCATGGTGGGCTGGATCATGAGCATCTTCTGGGGCATGGACATGGTCATCCTCGCCAGTGAGTAGGGGTTGTCATCTACACCTGGGCCCAGCGAGGATTGCATGGGGGACGAGCAGGGAGGGGCGGGGGTGGGCCCAGGGTGCACTTGGTGTCTGGGACCCTGTTGGTCACGCCTTTGGGGAGGTGGGTGTGGGCACCTAGCAGGGACAGGTTGGCTAAGGCTGAGGTCTTGCTCCTGCCCTAAGCACAGGCACTGGGCAGGGCTCAATTGTGTGCTCCTCACAATGCTGTGGAGTCTTGGGTTAAAAGACTTTTCCCCACATCCCTCCATGTCACACTCTTCCCTTGCTGGGAGTGAGTCAGAGATGAAATTTTTGTGCTGATATCTGAGCATTTGGGCACAAACAAGAGCAGAAGAGGACTCCTTATGGTGCCAAGACACACTGGTCATTGCATTAGTCAGAGAAGCAGACAAGGGCTCCTGACAAGGCCAGGAAGCAGTGATGTGACCCAAGTCAATCAGGTCCGTGCACCTACTATTCTCTTTCTATCCATCAAGGAGTTTTGGAGAAATCACTTAGTGAGTGCATTTAGCCACAGGAAATTCTAGATGATGTTATTTGACTGTCGAGAGAGTAATTTCTCCTTTAAAATTTAGCCCTTTTTTTGAAAACAAATAAAAGCCATTGCCAACAAGTGGATTCTAACTCATAGTGAGCCTCCACGGGTTTCTGAGACTAAATCTCAACAGGAACAGGTTGCTCATCTTTCTACGAAGTGGCTGGTGAGATCGAACTCCTAACCTTTCAGCAGCCCAGCACGTAATCCACAATGCCTCCAGGACTCCTAGCCTTTTGTTAGTTTACTGCTAAAGCTCTATTATTCCTGAATTGTGTTGGAGTGGACCTAATAACTTACTAAAAACTGAATTCAGACACAAAGATGCTTTATGAAAGGCCTGAAAGTTATAAAATAAAAATTACCAGATACAACATTTTTTAAATAAACTAATAACACAGGTGGTAAGCAGACATGCATGTTACCGGCACCTTCATACATACCCCTGTATTTTCATTTTTTCTGACCACTTCATTAGGCCGTAGGTCTCAATAACCAAGACCACGCTTCTTCAATGCTTTATCCCCTCACCACACTCCATCCCCAGCCCGTGTTTACTTCTGTGTCCTCCAACCAAGGTTGGATTGTCAGTGTAACAGAGCCTGGAGCCAAAGCCTGATGTGCAGGGGCTCTAGAATGATCTAAGGCTGACCCCTGTGCCTACTCAAGACCCAGGGTTGAGCAAGACTATAGTCAGTGACCAGTCAAAGGCTAGAGGAGATGCAGACAGATCTCACCACAGCTGGAGCCTCCTGAGCTCACCGAGGGGTCAGATAAGAGATAGGCTTAGAAGCAGGTTCTCAAGGAGCAGAGAGGTAAGGGGGTCGAAGGAGGCAGGCTGTGTTGCCTGGGTGTCACAGAGCTAGAAATGAGCAAAGCAAACTGGACAGAGGCTGGGAGCCCAGGGCATCCTGAGAAGGTGGTGGGCTGGCCCTAGAGAGGAACAAGTCAGGGGACAGTCAGAAGGCTGTGCCAGCTACTTCCTGCTGGAAGATGGTCCCAGGGAGGACAGAAAGGGTAGTGTCGTAGCCCTGCACAGGCTCTTCATGGGAGTCCTGCCCTGTGGGCACGTCTTCCATTTGGAGGTGGAACACAGACTTTGCTAGAAGGGAAGAAGTTCTGCCCACTCTCCAATAAATCCTGAAAAGTGAAGGTAGGGACATCTCCCGGAAGGAATTAGATGCTCCCCTCAGATCTGTGGGGTGACTCACCACCTCCCACTCTCTTCAGTTAGCATCTCCTCTCTGAAATTCTCTGAGCAACAGCCAGGTCTTGCGACAACTGTCCTGTCTCTGCCTTAACGTACTTCCAAGTTCCTTTTGCTGCTTCGCCTCTTTACAGAATCCATTTCTGACCAGGTATGTGGAAGCATTCCATTAAAGTTGTACCTAGTCACACCTACCACTCCAGTAGGTCTCAGCAAATGTATGTTGATGCCTTAGAGCTCCAGCACTTGGCCATCCTGAGGAACCAGGAAGCGAGGGTAAGACTTTGGAGATCATTTAAGGAGATCTTCTCACCGTGTCCTCTAAGACCACATAGAGGCCAACAGAGGGACCTGCCTGCTGCTTCACGTTCTATCATTTCACACTCTGTGCTCTTCTGGAAACTCCTCTTTAGTGACTGGTCTGTGGGATTGTACCTGGGCAGCATTGTTAGGCTGTAGAATGACCAAGTGTGGAGAGCTCCACCTCCATGTCCCACCCTCTTCTCCACTATGCAAGCGTTCACTGTGGGCTAGAGACAGCTCCTTGCACAAATGCTGGTTTCAGGGAAGCTGTGTTTGTGTCAGTCATTTCAGAAGACTTTTGAGGTGAAAACTTGAGGGTGGCACAAGAAATTTGGTTTCTCTTCAAATGGCCCTTCCATCACCAACCCCAGTAAGAGCTGACGTTCACATTTTACAAAAACTAATCTCTTAAAACTAGACTACTTTGAGGTTTAGGGGACACCGAGAGCATGACCATGCACAAAAGAGAGCAACGGCATGAGAAGACATAATTAACACCATAAACTATGCCTAGGCAGGGCTCAGATTCCACAGAAAAGGAGAAGAGGGGAAAGTCTTACTGCCATTAGGGCATCCACCACGGAGAAGTCAAGTCCTCATCTCCCCACTGCTGGTAGACAGAAAACCACCCGAGTGCACTTTCATTTGATGGGTAGGACACAGGTTGGAGGATAGGTGCCCTGGGAATGATGCCTCACCCTTCCCATGGCAAGCAGACCAACACCATTCTGAGTCTGGCAAAGAGACACTCCCTAAATTCAAGAATGTGTTTATTGTTATGTACAATCGAGTTGCCTGTGACTCATAGAGACCTTATGTACAATAGCCCTAAACCCTGCTCTGTCCTGTGCTAGTCTCATTGTCTCTGACACACTCACCACCATTACTCCAGTCACTGATTCAAGCCACCTCATAGAGGTGGTCTTCCTCATAGGGGTCTTCCCCTCCTGCTCTGTCCCTCTACCCTCCCAAGCATGATGTCCCTTTCCAAGGACTAGTCCCTCCTTGCAACATGTCCAAAATATGTCAGATGAAGCTTCAGAATCCTTGTCTCCAAGGAGTAGCCTGGTTTAACCATCTCTAGGATGAACCTGTTCATTTTCTTAGAAGTCCATGGTATATTCAATACTCTTCTCCAGCACCACAGCTCAAAGGTATCAATTCTCTTTCTGTCCTCCCTAGTCATTGTTCAGCTCTCTGATGCATAGCAAGTGATTGCAAAGACCATGGCCTTTATCAGGCGCACCTTAGTCTCCAGACTGACATCTTTGCTCTTCAGCACTTTAGAGAGGTCTCTAACTGCAGACTTTTCTATCACAATACGTCTTTTAATTTCCTGGCTGCTGGTGCCAAGAGTTTTGACTGTGGATCCAAGCAAAACAAAACTGTGAACAATCTCAATCTCTTCACCATTCATTATGACGCTGCCAGTCAGCCCAGTGGTAAGATTCCTTATTTTCTTGATATTGAGTCTCAATCCATACTGAAGACTGAAGTCCCTGACCTTCCACAGCAAGTGCTTCAGGTCCTTTTCAGTTTTAGCAAGCAAGGTTGTGTCATCTGCATAACACAGATTATTGATGATTCTTCCTCCAATCTTAATGCCACATTTCTCCTCATAGAGCCCAGCCTCCCAGATAACCTGTTCTGCATAAAGATTGAAAAGGTATGGAGATAGGATACAGCCCTGGTGTACACCCTTCCCAGTTTGGAACCATACAGTGTTTCCTTGCTCTGTTCTGAGGACTGCCTCCAGGTCCAAGTATAGGTTTCGCATTAGCACGATCAAGTGTTCTGGGATTCCCATTCTTAGAGTCACCCGCAGCTTGTTATGATCCACACAGTCAAATGCCTTTGCATAATCAATGAAACAAAGATAGACATTCTTCTGGTACTCCTTTATTTCAGCCAAGATCCATCTAACATTAGCTATAATATCCCTAGTACCACGACCCCGTCTAAATCCAGCCTACACTTCTGGTAGTTCTCTGTTGATGTGCTGTTCCAATCGTTTTGGATAAACTTCAGCAGAATTTTGTTTGCATGTGATATTAATGATATTGTTCGATAATTTCCACACTCTGTGGGATCACCTTTCTTTGGAATGGGAACAAATACAGATCTCTTCCAGTCAGTTACAAGATTAAATGCTTAGGAAGATATCGAACTAAAGGCACAAAAGACCTATATAAAGAAAAGGAGAAGACACTGACATGAGAAATAAAAAGAGCTGGATAAATGAAAGACTATACCATGTTCATGAACAGGAAGAAAATATTGTGAAAATGACAATTCTACCAGAATCAACCTGCAGGTTCAGTGTGGTTCCAATACAGATACTAAGGCCACTCCCTCTTCAAGGAGACAGAAAAGAAATTTTCAGCTTTATTTGGAAAGGAAAGAGACTCCAAATAAGCAAAACTGTACTGAAAGACAAAAATAAAGCAGGTGACATCATGCTTCCTAATCTCAAAACCTGTGGCTCATCTACCTATGCTCATCAAATCTTTGACAAGGAACAAAATCCATTCAGTGCGTAAATGATAACCTCTTTAATGAATGGTGCTAGCAAAATTGGACATTGATCTGCAGAAAACGGAAATAAGATCCACATTTCACACCATACACAAAAATCAACTCAAAGGAGAGCAAGGACATAACGGTAAACCCAAAACTATGAAGATCATCAGAGAAAAAAAAATAGAAGCAATTTTAGAAGCCCTGATCTATGGCGTGAACATTCTTTCAAATGCAGACAAAAATGCACAACCGAGAGGGCAAAATATATGAATGAGAATTTTTAAAAGGAAAATTTTTGTGTGCAGGAAAAAACCAAACTAAAACAGTGCTCCTCCCACAGGATGAAAAGAAAGCCCATAGACGAGAAAAAAATATTTGGCAATGACATATCTGACAAAATATTCATGTA